GAGAACATCTCCTTTAGTTTACCGGATGTAAAAACAGGTGACAGATTCGTTCTCAACGGTCGCCATCTCTTCGGCTCCAAAGAGAAGAGATGATGCGACAGCGGCTCGGCCTATGACGAAGATAAAATTGTAATGAAATAAAGACTCAAAATAAAATTCTATTTACAAACACTTAAAGCTTTTTGGACGCACATCTCATATTTTTTTAATAAGTCTCATTATACGAAAATTAGAGAAATATATGTGAATCCTTAAAGATGATGCGCCGTGTGTGTGTCCTGTTTATATCTTTTTTGAATATACTTATATAATAGCTTTAAGTATTCTCACCTTTTCGAAAGTGGGTATTCCTCTATTAGCAAATGTGGAGAAATCTTTGATAAGGACATTCTTAATTAAATCAAGATCTTTTACAATAAGAACAGGTGTCATTCCAGCGAATATCCCAAACAATGGTTCGTCTTTGTACTTGTTGTACATTTTCGTCAAATAATTGTGCGCGGATATCTTCGAAAATGTAACATCTTTAAAATTTCCGAATAGTGGTATAGGTCGTGGACCACGGACACCGCGTGATTTCCAAAAGTCGAAGTTCAACGTAAGGTAATAATAAAGAGCGAGAATTAGTGCGACAATTCCACATAGAATTCCGTAGAGTTCCATTGTCCGGCCAGTCGATTACGAATGATCTTGACTTGAAAGAAAAGAGAAATAACATTCTATTGTATAAACTTCCATCTCGAGAAATGACAAGATTCGATAAAATTCAAACAAAATGTATCTTTGATAAAATGCGTGTTTAAGCGAGATTTGATGGAATTTTATCGATATCAAAATGTTTCAAGTCTGGAAAATGAACCGAAAAATCACTCTTATAACATATCATAATATATGTTACAAGTTATTATAATATAAGATAAGATAAATGTTATTTTTTAAATAATATTGATTTAGAAAAATGCTAAGTGTTGTATCAATTCTGTCATTTATATATGATATTAATGCACATGTGAAATGGAAATTTGGATCGTAATTTCTTGATATGTTTGTTCGGCAAGGTCGCTGAGCGAATTAATGCACATAAGGGCGGCATCTTGCATCAAGGTAAACAATAACTAAAATAAAAAAGTAATATGGCTAATTATTTCATATAATGCAGTGCGTTTAAATACGCGAGTATCGCGAAATAAAAATCATCTTCAAACGTAAGGCGTGGAATTTATCGCCGGCTAAACAAATAAGACTTTAATAAGACAAATAAGAATCAACGCGCGATCAGCAATAACCCCGCGATCTCCGTCACGCGCAGATTATGTAACTTCTCTTTAATTGTTATTTGAATCGAGAAAGTTTTTCGCTTAGCGCCAACCAACGATCTTGATGTTTCTTGAGATGATGCTGCAGAGTAGAAAAACGAAAGAAACAAGAGATTGTTCTTATTTTTTAAAT